CCAAAATATCTGAGCTTGAGCTTCATTATCGATCCTTCCAATGAGCAATCAGGGTTGATGAGAGGGGTATAGGAACTGGACAAATAAGTGGAACTGTTGGTTCCAAATCAATAGCTATATATCCCTCAACTGCATTGACTCTCTTTTTATCTGTGTAACAGTTTCATCTTGTGGCTGCTCTGCCAAGAGATATACAGTTGTTTTATTCAGTCTCTACTGAATAAATGGACCCATCCACAACAACAAACATGAGAATATAAACCTGGCTTAAAGTCAGAAATGAGCAATCATCTTCTAAGAGTGATAAGCCAGTAAGGTATAAATAATTCCAATGCTCACAACTTGTCTGAACCAAGTTACAACAATGAGCAGATGGATTTGGTCCACAAAAAGTCCTAAATAAAATCAGAGACTATCAAGATGCTAATCCAGCACCCCAGGATCACATGCTCAGAGGAAGGCATAGTTTTCCAATTATAAAATGAGAAACCAAAACAAAAAGGTAATCCGCTAAAACTCCTTACAGCTAACAGAACAGGGCTGTTAGAAATCTTGTCCGTTAAAATGAAACTAAAATGAATTTTTGGTATTCTCATCTAATTCATGCTACTCTGGGCACTTTGGGGAAAAACAGCAATTTGAACATGAATTTATAAATAGATGAAAGAATTTCTTTCTTTGATAGCAGCCTTCCCGATGGCTTAGGGGGAAATACGCTGATGGGAGAAGAGGATAAATCAAAAGAAATGCCATCAAAGCAAAGCTGAAGCATCAGTGAGACTGCAAGTCAGTAAGCACATGATCTCTCTTAAGATCTTTATTTCTCAAAACTCCTTCCGTTATTGCAAAGTGAACTTCTGGGATTATTCTGTGGCAGATATCTACAGACATTCTGTAAATATGTTTTAAAGGTATCCGTTTCAATCCTGAGCCACTAATGTGATGTCAGAGGATCTGATGGAGATTAAATCCCCACAAGAGTGAAGATGCTCTCTGATGAAGAAGCCAGCTGTGCAGCTGCTTTTACCCTTAAAATAAAAGTACAATCCAGCTGCAGGCACATTGCAGCCTGGCTGCGTTGAGTACAATGCTTCAGCCCATTGATCTCTAGAGTTGGCACAAATGGGGTGATTCAAGCCTATGTAGATTTCCCCGCAGGCCGTGCCAGTAGGACATCATCTCTCATATTAAACGCGGGCATTAGTTGGTCTCATGGGGAAAGTTATGGACCAATTCCCTGAAGACATTTGTGGTCTCAGTTGGCATTTCTTTGGAGCTACAAGCCCAAAATTGGACCATAAGGGATTGTTACGTACATTAGGTCTGTCCATATTGCTGATCACCCCTTGTAATACTATGCAAAGAGCTGGATATCTTTGCGTAGAGAGCCAGTTTGGTGTAGAGTTGAAGGTGCTGGCAAGAAACTAGGAAACCCTGAGTTCTAGTTGTCCCTTAGGCCTGAAAGCCAGCTGGGCAACTTTGTGCCAGTCACTCTCTCTCAGTCCTATGTACCTTACAGCAGGGTTCCTCAACCTTGGCAACTTGAAGATGTGTGGACTACAACTCCTAGAATTCTGGCTGGGG